CAGAGACAGTCTGGTTCCTCGAATTTGTAGTATCATCAAGGAACAAGGTGCATAACCATCACAGAGTAGCTATGACAAAAACACATAGTGATACTGGAGGGCAATTATCAAAGCGGGCTAGAAAATGGCACATGTTGTAAAGTCTCTAGTCTTGATTCAGGAATGACTGCAGTGGGCCAGATCCCGACAAAGGGCCAGGGTTCTCTGCAGAGCGGACCAAGAAGCCAGACTGATCCACGAGTCACTTCTGAACTGCCATGGACTGGCCAAAAACACTGCTAGATTAAAGAGAAAACGAGAAACCAGAAATAAAGTCAGAGGACAGTAGGTGGAACTGGGAACCGAACTAGGCAAAACTGCAGAGCATAAACAGTGCTGGTGCTGTCAGCAAATGCCTGCCAGGGGAGAGACTTCTCTCATGGAAAATGTGGAGTCCAGAAGAGAAACCTGCCAAGAAGGTGAGGAGTTAACGCACAGACTGGCCTTGCAATTGTGAATCTGCACAGACTGGGCTGGCACTGGACAAACTTGAGCTGTTCTCTTCTCCACCTGGGAGAATCTTGACTTAGTGTGTTAATAAATTCTCAGGAAAACAAATAGTTTCTCCTGGTAAGAGGAAGACTGCCACGTCAGCTGACTGACCCAGAGTACAAAAGGATTCTGAACCTCCAGGAAGGTCTGAAAGAGAGGATCCTCTTTTATTAAGATTTTGAAAACATAATACAACATTTTCCTGGGAGGCAAACAGAAGGCTTGGATACAAATCCTTTGGGTTTGATTTCTCTTTCTGCTCCTTGTCTCCCCTTCTTTCTGACATCTCTAGGAACAGGCTTTCTTTGAGAGAGGGTAAGGGACATAAAAGCATCACAGCAAAGACTGTGACCATCCACCTCTGAAACAACAGCCCAGTTCCCAGCCCACTGCCCCAAGCAGCCTCGCCAGTGTGAGGTCTGTGCTTCTGCAGCGGCAGTCTTGCCCCAAAGAGGCACAGTAATTCCTTTTTGTTACTTGAATATATATTTATAAAGGCAAAGAATGATAAAAGGTGAGGAGAGGAAGGAGAAGGATGGGGCACAAGGGCTCATTAACGAAGCCTCTTGCTCCCTCAGCAACGTTCTGGGAGCCTGAAAGCTTTGCTGAAGTTGTTTCACGTCACTACAACGAAGAGGCACAGTCTCCTCTTTTACTGCTGACGTCTGAGTACCAGATGAGAGCTTTCTGACTCATCCAGGGGACTGGCAGGCCTGCTGGTGCGAGCTACTAGACACCCTCATTAGAATTGCTACGATTAAAGCTGCCAGGATCCATAAATTGGCTGACTAGGCCAAACTGCATAAAAGAGGGGAAACTGGAAAGTGAAATAAAATTGTGTCTCCACCTGCAGATCTTGGTTATTTTGGTCATCTTTTAGCAGATGCAGGGTGGCAATAGAGGCTGAATGGTTTTCCCACAGTGGTATGAAATGTAGACAGCAAGGGGAGCAAAAAGGCTGTGATTAGAGAGCTCAGGAACAACACAAGTGAGGTACGGCTAGCAGTAGGAGCTTGAATGCCCTGCAGCATCTGTGTCACAGGGAAAATGAATTATACGAAGTAGAGACAAATTAGAAGGCTAAACTAAACCAAACTTCAAGGAATCAAAGACTGCAAAGCACCACGAAAGTGGCATGACAGGCTAAAAAAAAGCCAGAGAAAGGAGTTGGAAACAGCATCTGAGGGCATGCTACAGAAGAGCCACAGTTGCATAAGCTGAGAGGTGAGCAGGATAAATGCACGGAATCCCCAGCCTGCCTCCATGTAGCAAGAATTGTAATCAATCAGAAGGAAAAAGAGCTAATTTTCATCTGCTCATTAAAATATAAACACAGCATGCTTGTAGAACAAGCAGAATTTTCATCTGTCCACAGCCAAAGGGGACTGACAACCCACAAGGGGATGCCCTCTGAAGATGGTAACTGCAAACAGGACTCGGCCCTTTCAAAAACACGTGGGGAAAAACTCAAAGACGCCTGGTTGCTCTGGAAATCTGCAGTGGGTAGTTATGGCAGCTGGAGGAGGTCTGCATACCAATTTTCTCTGCATCTAACTAGCAGCTTCTGGAGACATCTCTGTATCTCACTCATCAGTATAGAACAGCCAACAACTTTTGGCTTGTGCCCTCCAAAAGCTATTTCCTACTACTGACTGTCCTTCCAAGGATGATTTGCCTGCTGCACTGAAGTTGCTGTAATTAGCTCTTGGCGAGGCAAAGGAAAAGCAGAGCAGCGCCATAATAAGCAGAGAGGATGGCTTTGAAATTCAGTAAGATTAAGGGCAGCCTCCCTGGTGCCCTCCTTGCACAGGGCCACTGAGTTATGGGCAGGTATCATTTAGATCATAGCTAAGATCTGAAATCATTATACTTGCATTATTTCCTCTTAAGCAGCCCCCTTCTCAACCTTTCTAAATTTCCCTCTCTCACAGATGGGAATGGAGTGGAAGGAGAAAAAAACCCAGTGTAATGGGGAAAGTTCCTGCCTACAGAGGGCAAAAAGAGACTATAGGGAGCAGCTTGCTTATTTGAATGCAGGTAAGGAATGGGGGCTTCAGAAAACAACAGCTCCATCAGCTGTCAGGACACTGCAGGCTAGAGTGACACACCAACAGAGGAGAAGGTAGGAGGCCCCTAGCATGGATGGCCTGCAAGCTGGGTTAATATACTGCAGGAGCATAGAGATAAAAGCACAATCCAGACTCCCCCAAAAGCAACTGTCTAAGTAACCTGAGAAAGAAAGGCATAGCAGTTTGGGATAAATTAATAGCTAGTTCACGATCAACCCGGTCTTGAAAACTAACCTCAAATAACTACATCATACATAAGCTGTGAAATAATTACTTCAGCCTGGGAGACCTCACATACTGTTTCACCTACAAATTTTCCTTTGCTCAATTTCATGTTTTATCCCCACTGGACTGCACAGAATAGCCCTTTCTTTTGCTGCTTACAACTTACAAATGGATACTGCTTCCCCAGACTCTACATCCTTCCTTCCCACCCCAGGGGGAAAAAAGTGTTGTGGGCTTAGCCATGCCTACCCAAGGGGAGTGGGTTCAGAGAAAAGGTGGTGGCTTCACTCCAGCCTCAGCTTTGACATTTCAAGGTTCAGACACTGTAAAACTAAGATTTTTTTTTTTTTTTTTTTTAAATATCAACTCAAGTCAAGCACCTCACTGGGTGCAGCCCACCTCCCTTCCCTTGGGAAAGACAGTTTGGCAGGTCGTGCAACATCATCCTCAACTGCATGCTTTTAAGAGCACAGCACTGGAGCCTTCCACCTCCCAGGTTGTACCTGCATCACAGATCTTTGACACTGGACACTGACAAGATTATTCTATGATCCTAAGACTCCCTTGTGCAAACACAGCCTGGGACAACAGAATCACTGTGGCAGTGGATGCGTCCCCTTCCCTGTGATGTCGGCTAAACCAACAAAACACTCTTCTCAGTACAGCTGTACCCACTGCAGAGCTTCTGCTAAGACAGTCACTCAGCTACAGGTATGTTTTTTTCCTACCTACAACTGACATGATTAGGGTAGCAAAACTTGTCGCCCAGGCCACAAACTCTGGGCCTCAGGCTGGGGGTGTCACAGCTGCACACTTTGCGCAGGCATCATTTCACCACATCAGCAGCGTTCAACCTCTGATCTGCAAACTCCAGCTAGAAGTTCCACCAAAGGCAACTAAGAGAAACAAGCCTTTAGCTTCAGGGACCCTCTAGCTCCACTGGAGATTTTCAGGGTTTCAGAAAAAAGTTGAAACATCACTGCACTGGGATCCAAAAAGCTCAACGAGACCTGGCCAATGATCCCTCTACTGTGAGGAAGTCAATATTCATTGGAGTAAAAAAATCAAGAGGATGGTGGTTACTCCAGGGGCCCTGACACACTTGAGACAGGTTATGAGTTACATTCACAGTAGTAGCCAGAGCTGGGGCTTAGACGTGTCTACCTTGAACGTGAAACCAGTAGGAGTGAATGTTTCCAGATCAGATGAGAGAGTATTCCAAAGAAGGCAGAGAGAGCTGAAAAAAGAGAGTGACACAGTACTGTATAGTTCACAGCTCTGTTCCATTCTTTTATTAGAGCCACGGGAGCACTTACAGCTGATCTCATCAACGGAGCTAAAAGACTGATGTCATTAGTCACCACTCCGCAGCAAGCAAAAAAAAGGACATATGAGAGGGAGAGGGGGAGAGAGAGAGAGCGAGAATGACTGCTGTCCACCTTACCCAGCTCCACGGACAAGCAATCCCTCAAAAACCCCCAGTAAGCAGCACTACTACAGCAGAACAAAGATTACTTCAAATTGCCCAGCTAGGAAATGAGGTTATATATTGTTTTTGCTTTTAAGGTGAGTTTCTGGGTAGCACAAAGAACAAAAGGGACAGTCCTGGAAACCACTACACTCTCCATCTCCAGAGCAGGTTCAGCACGGTAAGCACAAAGCAAGGACACTCCATCATATATCGACAACAGCAAAACACTCCTTAGAATGTGTCTACCTCATCCCAGCTCCTCTTGGAAAGGCTGTTAATCACTACACCATGGGAACATGCTTTCACAAAAAAACCAAATTTTAAGTCACTACCTTATTTCACAAAAAATACCAAGAAGGCTATTGGATGTTAACTTGTGCCTACTACCATCCTAGGCTGTATCTGAACCAGTGACCCAGAGGTGAAGGTCCATGTCACATTATCAGTCTCCAGAGACATGCAATCCTCTCAGAACAGAGGTTCCTGATAGGCATTTTCAAAAGGGCACAAGCAATTATGAGAGCTTCACAAATCACTTGACAATATGCCCATTATACAAAGTATTTTCAGCAAAAAGCAGCCTTTATACTGGAAATAAACAGAAAAGAACAGTAGATGGGTGACAGATGGAAGAACATTAATTCTCCATCACATTTCAACCCTAAATGGACTGAAGTACAAACGTAAGTATGGGCATCACCTACTTTAACTGCCATAATTTGCCCACTTGGTTTGTGGACCATTTTGTTGACAGAACCATAAGCGCCTCGTCCAATTTCTCCAAGGTCTTTCAAGTCCTCTGCTGTAAAATCCCAATGCTGTTCAGGGGAAATCTTCAATTTTCCTGATGATTCAATGCTGTGTGTTCTCAGTCTCTCTCTGTCAAAAATATTGGGAAGCAATTTTTCCACATTTTAAATAGTCTGCAAATTTCTCTTTTCAGCACTTGATTAAACATTAGAAGAGAGGGGTTCACAAAGGCTACAGCAACATCAGGCAAAGGCAAAGGGGGTTGGGGGGGGGGGTAGGGGGGGGGGGAGGATGTTAAATCAAAAATGACATACGCTTGCTCACAGCTAAAATTAATTGTAAGTTTCTCCAGCTGTGGCATAAAATTCAATGTGTCTCATATCTTAGAGTCATTCTACTCGCTCATTTATACAGTTCTTTCTACTTTGCACAAAATACAATCAGGCTTAAAGCAGGATCTGGTAACATGCAGAACCAAGAGTCTGAAGAGCACTCCCCAAACCCATAGCCCCAAAGCTCCTACTTCTCTACACCGTTACGCTCTGCAGCAACTGTCTCACTTTTAGTTTGGTTTTTATTCAATGCGGGTAAAATCTTCTGTTTGTATCAGGGGGACTTTAAAGAGAGCTTGCTCTTAATGGAAAACTGCAATTAATTTCAAAACATTTTAGAAAATCATTTAATTTTTTCAAAACAAATGAAAAGCCAATAATTTATGTTATATTTAAAAATTATATATATAGAAGCTGTGACATCTGAAAACATCAATTATCATCTGTTCAAGTGCATCTTTACCAAATACCTAAATTAGTGTTCTTGGGCAGAAATTGCTCCCCCTAAAGCCAAAAGGATTTTGTTCAGGTAAGGAGCAGAATGATGCCCACAGTCTATGGGAAAAAAGTAAAAGACTTTCACAGTCGTTTTAAAGTGCTTCCAATTACTCTCTCAAATGCAGCAATGCTATCACTGATTTAGTAGGAAACGCACATGTATTTTCACCTTAAAAAGCCACACAAGTTTCCAATTTCTCATTAATTAATGAGCTGATTCACACTTCTCTGGTCATAAAGTATGCCAAAAGCCTGAGCTTCCTACTTTCAAGTAGCAATAATAGTATCCAAGACAGTTCTCACTGTAGGGCATGCCAATCTCACACAGGTATTAGAGCAGATGGGTATTTTTGATGACCTCACATACAAGGGAGATTCTGTCAAACTAATCGCTTGCCCTCTCATCAGTTCACCTGGGCATTTGATTGAGCAACCAGCATCTGGTCAACGAGCAGAACATACATGAGGTATTTGATCAAATGCATAAAACTGATCAAGCTTACCGGTCAAAGGATTAAACGTGTTACAGCTGAGTCCACACTAATGAATACAACTGAGTATTTGCCAATCAGCAGCTGCAAGCGCTACTGAGTTGGATGCTACAGTGGATCCAAACCTGAGCTCCACGGGGTTTTATTTGGAATCTGGGTTTTGTGAGGGCAATGAGGTCAGGTCCAAAGGTCAATTTACTGGCGCAACTAAGGTTCTAATGGCTTCATCTGCTGCGTGCTGGCTTCTCTGCGACACATTGGTTTAGCACTCTCTGGGCTTTGAACAGCTGCATTTTCTGAACCTTTGACCCATCTGCTGAACTGTGTCCCTGAATTGCTCCTCCCACCTATGATGTCCCGTTCTTTCCCTTTCTCTGATTTTCCTAGCTTGCCTAGCTTTCCTAGCTTCTCTGATTTTCCAACCTGCCGCTACCTAGAGTGTCCCTCCAACTTCATTGCCCTTAAGAATAATTCAGGGGAAGACCTATAATAGTGCTACAGATGTTAAGTACACAGAAGCCCGCAGAGGCAGAGGTGGCATCTATTAGTTAGCATTATCTACATTCTTTAAGTTTTTGTGCATTTGATTTCTCAAACAAAACACTGCATTTAGTTGGGTTCTCCATGGAATCTGCTTACTGAAAAGCAAGGAATGAAAATAAGTAAATAAGAGCAAAGAAAAGAAAAGAAGAGCAGAGAAAAGAAAAGAAAATGAAAAAACAGAAACATGGCCTACAGACTTGCCAGCTGTCTTTGCAGGCAGCTTACACTGGAAGCAAGGCTACATGAATCAGCTACCATTTAACTGCTCAACCATCCTTCTTTGTCAGTACCATAAAAATAGTTCTTCTTTTGATGGAAGAACTAAGGTGACAAGTGACATGTTGAGGAGGCACTGGCAAATGGACATTTCCTGCCTGCCTCCTGCCAGCTGGAAGAGAGGAAGAAGCAAGATCATTCAAAAAGAGCAAAATCTTATTCTGAAAGGCAGGAAAAAGAAAAGGTAAAGAGGTGTTTCCATGAGGTTGAAATGTGAGCATTGATTTTCTGAATAAAACTTGTCCATCTTTTGTTTCCAAAGAACATGCCATACTTAAGTTCTCATACCATTAAAAAATTTACATGTTGACATGGTTTATTCAAAGAAAGCTATCTCAAATCTTCCCTTTGTCTGTTTCTCTGCCAGGAAACTTTGCTTTTCTCACCCTATGTCAGAACAGAAAGCACATTTGAATTAATTTCTTGTTGAACAAGAAGCCTGTTTCTCCCCAGCTGTAGTGTGACAGCAAATCTATGCCATTGTTCCTGCAGCTGCAGGATGGTTGTTTCAAGCAGCAGGGATGAGGATGTGAGCTAGGAAATACTCCTCGCTTAGGGTTTTTATTTAGGTGCTACTATATTCTGATGTGAAGCAGTGTTGCCCAGGGAACTACAAAACCTACTCCCTACCCTATTTTGTTATATGGTTTGAAATGAGGTGTACTGTCACTGTCCACCTACAAAATCTCATATATTTTAGCTTGGCTTAATTTCCATTACTTACTTATGATGCCATCTGCCTTGTATCGTGATCAGAGTTTTTTTCACATTTTTGGCATTTTTTTCAAATACCCAGAGGAACGGTCAAACAACCCAATGACAAGCTTGACAGAGCGAATGATATTTTATTATATATTTTGCTCATTTAACTAGTTGCCAGAAGTACGTACTGCAGTTTTCCTTTAAGCAGCGTGGCCTAGCTTAAAAATCATAACTGGAACACAATTATTACTTTTAGCATCAAAAAATTATGCTTTATACCAGGAATTTTTCAATGTAAAGAAAAAAAAAAAAGAAGAAGAAGAAAAAAAAGGAAGGAGATTCTCCACACCAGGAAGGCAGCTCAAAAATGCAAATCTAGAAGACAGACTCTCTGCATTGACATAAAATAAGAATATTCTGATGAAAAACTGAGTGAAGCAATACAAATAAATAAAACAGCAATGCAGCACATCTATTACTAGATTTGCACTGCTGCAGCTATATGAGTGCCTAACTCCACAGGGCAGACATGCCAAAAAAATACAAGGCCTGTCTAAACCCACACTACATCCTACTGCAGTGGGTACTATACTAGCTTGCTTTAGAGAACAGAAAAGTAACCATACAGAACAGTGTTCAGTGAGGGCGAAAAGTAATTAATGCCCAGTTCCTGCTTCTGCAATAGATCAAATTTCAATCACTGTGTTTAGTGCTCATTACAGTTTGCACAGATGTGACATAAGGCTTCTCTTACCGTTTCTTTTTAAAATTGTGCAACCCAAATCTCTCTAAAGCTAGGAATGTTGGTGTAAAACCAGGCATATATTCTTCAAAAGAATAGGATGCCTAAAATGGACTTGCTGGAATTTGTTTTATTGTTTAAAACAAATGCATTATGCATTCATTAATACCTAGAGAAGAAGGCTGGATTCATATAATCCTCAAACAATTGAAAGGATTTTCAAATGCACCTTTGGGGCTATACCTCCTGTTGACTTGTCCAGCACTTGAGCCTCTAACTCCCTTTATTGCCCCTGAAAATTTTTAAAAGCAAAAACTATCATAGGGTTAGGACACAGTTGCAAATATTGCACTGGAAAGACACCAACGTATCGGTCTTATTGCAGATGGTTACTATGCTTGTCACAGCAGTTATTCCAGGGATTAGGAACACCAAGCAAGACAACAACTCCTCCTAACAGTTGCCCTTTGTCAGAAATAAAAATGTTTGTGGATCCAGCTTGGCAGGAGGCACACAGACTGCTGGCGCCAGGCACCACAGCTGGGCCAAGGACAGCGTCACACACATTCGGGACGTAAGTTTGCTCATTGCAAGCTCGGTGAGCTAGATCCACACCGGAAAGTCTGCCACAGCTAAGAGGCCCACAAAATCTAGTGGAAAGGAACCACAAAGACATTTTGAAGCTTTTGGACAGGCCATGTTAGTTATTCAAGCCCTGCTATTAGCACCTAACTGCAGGGATGCCAAAACTTTTTAAAACAAGCACGTTTTTTGGCATGAAAAAAGGAGGACTGTGGGGACAGGCAGAGAAAAGTTTGTGTATTTTTAGGCAATACTGAAAGTTATCGGACATGAAGCAAGGCCAGAAAGATGCTATAGGTAACTGCCTAAATCTTCTGCTTTATGCTTCACTTCATAAGGAAATCTGTGGGATTCAGAGCAAAGAAACCCAAAAGTTATGTATACAACATTACAGTTGACATGAATAAAACAGATCTGCATAGTCAAAAAGATTCAAACAGACCAGCTGTGCTTCACAGACCTGCCAAATGCCAGATTTTTCAAGGAAATCTCTCATTAAAGCTTTTATTTATATTTTGGTTAATGAGAATATATCACCAAATCTAATTCTCCACAAGTCTGGCAGAAAGCCGCTTGAAATGATGGAATTTCAGAAACTGTTCTGTGGTCAGCATGGTTAATAAGCCAAAGGAGTGCTAAAACTTAAATTCAAACAAAAAAGCTTCCATGCAAACTATAAAGTTTTAGTAACATTGTGCACTGTTCACAGCTTCAGAGAAAAAATGAGGCTTAGGACTCTGGCTAAAAGATTTCAACCAAGCTTTTTAAATAACCTAGAGAAATTGTAATCCTTCTATCTAAATGCCTGAGTTATTCATAAAATAGATTTTTAGACCCTGCAGGCTAATGCTGATCAAAAAGCAACCCTATTTTAAATTTCTCCAGAGAAAACCTCCAAAAGAAAACTTTCAGTTATTTCTGGAGGTCTGAAAACATTAGTAGTCTTGCGAGATTTCAACAGAT